GAAGCTCAGTGTAGGTTACCCTCGACAAAAGGAAACAGTGCAGTCAAAACCACAGTGAAGCCTAAATACATGACATGCTTCATTATGTATTTTAAACACTATAGTTATGTTTTGTGAAATACTGGTTTGTACAGAAATACAGGAACAACAAAATCTTGTTAAACGGCATGAAAATTCTGGACTTTTCCAGATTTTGAAACATGAATTTATTCCTTCTTTGCGACACCGATCTGTTTCCTCTGAGAACAAAAAGAGCATGAAGGAAGAAATAATGTTAAAACTAAATTCAACAATATCTTAAACACTTACACGATACAGACTTAATGATTTAATCAAATCAGATGTGGAATTTTAAAGAGTGTGTCCGAGGAGAAATGTGTTAGATATTTTATAGGCCAGTAACTGTAGCTATAATATACAATATAATAATAAACATGATTTGCATTTTTAGTGAAAACAAACACTTAATACATTCTGTTGCCAGCTCTGTGATTTTTATGTTTTAGATGTTGCTAGTTGTAGAAGCTGACACATAAAATGCTAAAGTAATTTGATACCGACTTATTTGTTTCCTGCACATCAGAGAATATCTTTAAGAATTACACCTTTAATCAGCCAGTCACGCTTCTGTTCACATAATGTTCATGATATAATGTAAAACTAAAAGCAACAAACATCGCTCTGTGAGATTGCCAAGCCTCAGGTTAACTGGGTATTCAATGGCAATTTGTTTTTACAAATTTTAGATTCTTCAGTTTTCACTCTTTTTCTGCTTTTAGGGTACAACTGACTCCACTACAACAGCAAAAACAGAAACAACCACAAGACTAACAACCAATCTGCTGACAACTACAACACGAAAATCCACTTCACTGGCTCAAAAAAAAGAAAGTTCCACTCCAGATAATGTTGACAGAGTGGATGTGACCACACAAAATGAGAACAGTATAACTCTGACGTGGAACAAGGTTAACAACATCCCAACATACATCCTGCATTATGGTGATATAACAGAAGGTATTAATAAAGCTGAAGAAGGACCCATAGTACATGTGGTCACTTCTCTGACTGCTGGGACAAACTACACATTCACTCTCTTCACCGCATCTGATGGACTCAACAGCAGTGGATACAGATTCAGTGCTGTGACAGGTTAGTGAGCACTGAACAAAACATTCAGTCTAATTAAAACATAAACAAAATACAATTATATTCTTGTGTTTAATGAACGAGAGATCAACATTAGTAATTCTATAGAAGAATACAGAGTGTTAAATTTGACCAGTGGAACCAGATACACTTTCACTCTCTTCACTGTGTTTGGAAATGTCAAAAGCAGTGGAGTAAACTGCATCGCAGTCACTGGTGAGATGTAATTTCTCTATATTTTCTCAGTTTTTTGGGGAACATGCTTATATACTAGCTTCTCGTAACATAAACATTTGTTACATTTTCCTATTTTTGTCTGATGTACATTTACAACATTAGACAGGGGACATTAGAATTTGAAATTAAATTTTTATACTTTCTAAAGGCTTAGGAAACATAAATGGTTACTTAAGGATGAAACATTGTGAATCAGACTTTGTAAAATTGTCTTTATTTCATCTTTAGCTCCTGATATAATATAATTAAATGGACAATATAAGTCCAAGTCGATATTCTATATTTTCCTTCTGGCCTGCAGTGCCATTTATCCATCCTGGCTCCACCCACCAACCATAAGAAGGAAGTGTGCATCTAACCCTGATGATAGGCTTGTGCTTGTGATAGAGCAGCAAATATGGATAATGTGCTCTTAGCGAGCAGCATGCTTAATTATTATATTTTATACAATAATTATCTAATTATTATATTATTAGTACACACTATTTATTTATTTAATTTTGACTGATCTGATCACCTGATTGGAAACATACA